TCAAGAGCTTTATTGGATTGCCAAATGGAAGCCTGACCTTTGGCTATTATACTGCGAATGAAATCAACTCTTTAGTATTGTATCTTTTTACTTGAACCAGAGGCTTTTCTGCTTCAGACTCGATGCTACTAATTGTATTTTTAGTACAAAATCATTCGAGGTTGAGTGATGTAACATGTTGGTTTAGGTTGATTTTTGCACCTTGGCTATACCCTTTGGCCAAATCTAGCCCAGCATTTGCCGCTTACTTCTTGTTAAAGGTTCAGTAACGGCAAACACATAGAAAATTACTGTCAAACAAAAACTAAACCGATAAACTCCAAGCATACCTTTCAGCGCTGCACTCCCATTACAATGTCTACAATCAGGCGCTTGATACACACAATTGGATAACTCTATTTAGCCGTCCGCCACCGTCAGATATTGCGGAATGCTTTTGTGCACGCAATCTAGTGGCACTTTGAGTTGTCAGAACAATATAGAATTTTAGTTGAAACTTTGACGACGCGACGGCGCTTTTGTCGCGTTGTTGCCATTATTATTATTATTATTTGTTACAGCGCGCCTAAATGTATGTGACTTTGTTACCCTGTGGTTGTAGTAGTAGTTCAAGGACTTTACTTTTTACACGGTAAGTGCAGTTCGAGTGTAACAAAATACCAACAGAAGCTGTCTAAATACGTGCACTTGTATATGTATTATGTACTCATATGTATGTATGCGCTCACACACTAAACTAAACAAATACCCAAGCATAAACAATAGTTGTAGTAGAACTTTACAATCAACTTTGTGGTGAAATATATATTTTTTTTTTTTATTTTTTGCCTGCCAACAAACGCACAAACAAATAACGGTGTAAAGTGGAAAAAATAACTTAACAAACATTTGTAGATTTAATTAAATGTTCAGCATACAAACAGCACCGACAGTATACGAGTATATGGTTGCGCCTAAAAGTAGACTTCCACTTATGCGATTACATATGTTTGCTTTTGACTGGATTACATTTTCAGCATTCACCGCCAGACACGCGCTTAGTTACGTGTGGAAGTGCACGCACTACCATGTGTGTCACGCAATGTTTGCTTTTCACTTAAATTCCAGACGCACATACACATTTAATTTATATTTAATTTTATATATTTAAATACCTAGCAGAAAAACAGACTATGAGTCAAGAAGGAGTGACTACAATGATTCATATGCATATAAAGACTGTAAAAATTCCGGTTAAAATTTTGTTATATAAGAAGAAATAAAACATTTATTATGATTCGATTCAATGACAAATGGATCATATTTGAATCTTTCTTGACTCATAAATGATCCAAACTTGACTCATATGTGACACAAAAAATTTAGTTTATTGTCATTATGAAAGTCATATTAATATCTTGTGTATCTTGTATGAATCACATCTGACTCATATATGACTCAAACAAGTATAATTAAATATTATTGTCGAATACACATGAATAGCTTGCGACTTGTGCACAAAGTAATAAAAAATAAATACTGAAAACGTGATTTGCAAAATTATTCATATATATAAAAGCTGTATTGTAACAAATTTGTTATGAATTATACACAACTCATTGGTAGTAAAACCATCGCTCATTGATATTTATTAACAAATATATGCATATCGTGTTCTGAAGGGTATTTTTCACACGAGTCAACATAAAATGAGTAGAATATATGAGTAATAAATTGTTAAGTAATGGTCCAAAAATAATCTCAGAAAAGTCAAGCAAATATTTGTAAAAGTAATTCTAAAAAAAAAAAGAATAATCAAGTATAAGTCATATGAGCCAATTCCGAGGTATAATAATTTCATATGACTCATTTATATATATTCATACGTGAACTTAAAAATTAAAAAATCTAGCATATTCGTGTTCGATTTTGAATCATACAATTATGAAGCTTCAATGCATCATTTCGGCCTCAAAAAGTAGCCCTCGAAGAATCAAAAAATAGCATAGAGTTTAACTTAAAAATAACCAATAATACCAATTCTATATTTTCATGCCTGACTTTTTAGTCAGCAATTGATAAAAAATGGTGAATCATTTGAGTGTTCAAAAGTATGATGAATCAAAAATAAAATAGTAATATTATCCAATAAAAATTAATGAACATGAACAACTTTAACTCACCTTTCAAGCCCGAAACTGTGTGAGTCACTCATGAACCATAAATGCATCATTTACGAGTATTTTTTATATTCAAAAAATAGTATAATGAAATTTTTTTTTTATTAAAAATCAAAGCTTCAAAATTCCAAATCACATTCTTCTACTTGACTCTGAGTCAGGCACTGTTAAAGCAGAAATGTATTATTTTTTTTATCCAAAAAAGCACATTGAGTAAAAATGTGGTCGAATTTTGTTTAAAAATTGAAATCTTAAAACTTTTACGAATCTTTCATATATAACCCGAAGTGAAGCACCAATAAAGCACTAATGAATCATTTAAGTACGCAAAACTAAGCGTTTAACATTGACTCCAATTAATAAACTCGTTAAATTTAGCTCTGTACTGTAAATATATACAATAGGTTCATATAGGTGAATCAAAGTGAATCATTTATAAGTCAAAGTTGATCATTTATGAACCAATGTGAATTATTTATTGGTCAGTGTGAATCATTTATGAATAATTTACATAGCAATGTAAATCATTTATAAATCAATGTTAATCATTTAAAAGTCAATGTGAATCATTTATGAATCAATGTAAATAATTTTTGAATCAATGTGAATCATTTAGAAAGCAACGTGAATCAATTATATATCAATGTAAATCATTTCTAAATCAATCTAAATTATTTATGAATAAATGCGAATAATTTTTGAATTAATTTTAATTATTCATAAGTCAATGAGAATCACTTACGAATCAATGTAAACCATTTATGAATAATGAGTACATGAATAATTTATGAACTGAATGTGAATCATTTATAAATAATACTTGAATCAATTGTGAAACATATATGAGTAAAGTAAATCATTATGTATGAATCTTTTAAGAATCAAATATTAATCATATTTAAATTATTTTCATAACTTTGAATCTATAATGAGTAATTGTAAATCACATTATTGTTTAGTATTAAACTATTTTAAAGGCATTTTTATATAAATGAATCATACAAGAGTCATCACAGAGCAAAAATGAATAATAGAAAAGTCCAAATAATTAACTAAAATTAGATGTGATTCATTTTGGATTTCAAACAATATTTGCATTTGACTTCGTCACAAAATGAAAAATTTTAGAGGCCTGAAAATTGTAAATTTTGAGTATAAATGATGCGTATTAATACTTCTAAATGACTCATGCTTGACTCCAAATGCTTACTGGGTTACAATTTGTTATTAAGCAAAAGTAAGCACATTTATTTATATATTTATTTATTTATTTATTTATTTACTTTTATTTCACTTATTTCTCTTACGTGCTTACCTCGGAATTGAGTAAATTTTTGGCTTTTTTTGGAAGTAGAAAGTCTTTGCACCCGCACTTGTCAGCCAGCACAAAGTAATATGGCCGAATTCGGCAACTTGTTGGTGTTGTGATAATAAAATACTTACTTACTGGAATGTAAAGAATTTTTGTGTGCCGTCTCGTGAAAGAAAATACAGGCATAACAGCGCCATGCGTATGCCTAACCCAGCGTATTTGTTGTGTAATAAAGTGTTTTCGTATATCGAAATCTTATCTGACAGGTATGTCGGCTCATTTTGAAGTATGTATGCATGTGTAGTTGCAATGTACGTGTGTGTGTCTATTTATGTATATGCGTGTTTGCTTTGAAGTGAAATTGAGCTGAAATTGCCTAGTCACACACACACACACACACACATTCATGTCTCATCTCAAATGAAAGCGGCAATTTATTTGGCTTGCATGAGTGCAAGCGTTGGCTTATGGAGTGAGAATATCAATCCCCTTCATATTATGGGTTAGTCAAGATTAAATATGTTGGCCAAGCAATGTGAGACAGTTACATGGTTGTGCACTTAAGTTATGTAATATGTATTAGAGAAGTCAGCAAACCCAAACCAAACGACGGGAATTTGTGCGGGCTAATGGGTGTTGATGGATGAGCACCTAGAAAACTTTAAGAGATTAAGACCCGTCTGGAGTAGTGACCTACAAAACTGCCTGCCTGCCTCTGATCAATCGACACCCAAAGATATACATATACCTTCAAATCGTTGCAAAAGCCTCCAACTCAGTCGTTCCATATACCGAAAGTGAATGACGTTAGCAAGTTCTTTTAATGCAGTTCTCCTCCCCTCGGCTGCCCAAAAACGTTCAGGGCAGAGTGTTTCTCACGCCTCCTGCAAAAAGCGTTGAAAAGTGTAGAAGTAATTTACCCTTAGGTTCAGCGGGATGAGAGCGCACCACCCATGGAAAATCATAGCTGGGAGTCGGTGCGTAATTCTGTTTTCCACTAATAAGGTACCTCCAAGAGGCTGATGGAATTTATTTCTTTCATGTCAGCAATACACTCGAAAGGTTTAAAACCTCCTACCGAAAATCAACCGGATTTTCAAGTTGAAATGCCATAAATTCGAGCTCATGGGCATCCGAAGGGTAAGACCAACTGCTCAATCAGAGTTACAGTGATGCATGCATGTAGTATCACCTGAAAAAACGTGAACCAAAGTAGTCCACCTGAATGGTCCTACAGGAAAGCCAGCACAGTATCTTCGTTGCACATTCCCGAGGCTGACTTGCTTCTTAAAGAAGTAACCAGCCAGACAATTAGCAAAACATACGGTATTTTTCTTTCGAGGACTTCATCTTTATCCTGAACAGGAAGCCGATGGCTTCAACTCAGTTGAGTTCGAACTACTATAAACTAGATTCAGCTATTCTAAGCACATTTCCGGTATTCTTTTCTACATTTCTTTATATTTTGTATGGCTCAAATATTTTGTTGGAATTATATCCAGATTTTTCTTTTTCTTCTCTTTTTGCAGTTTTCTCAATCGTAACAAATTGTGGAACACTCAATTAAACTCTATTCATTGATAACTACTAATAGTAACACCAAGAGACTCCCACAAAAATGCTAATCTACATTTCAAACCATCACCCAACCGCTGCCCAGTCCACGAGCCGGGCCTAACAAACGCAAACATCACAACAACCACCACAACAAGATGAACATCGAGCAGCAAAAATTCCCACCACCGCCAGCCACAACGAATCTGCTATTGGAGAGCGGTTACAGCAATGGCTATGCCACGCCCAGTAACAACAGCAGTATTACAACGACCTCAGCGGATACCTCGGCATCATCGCCGGCTTCACAGGCAACCACTTACGTGAATATACCAATCTTGCCGCTTGGTCACCTATCAGCAACCTCATCTTCCAATTCAACCGCCTCACCGCCGCTGCCAGCACCACCGCCGCCCTCTGCAGTGACAATGATGGGTGGTGGTAGTGGTGGTGGTGCCTGTGCAGTCAATGGTGGCGGCACTAGCACCTTCAAAACACCACTGCTGCCCATGCCCACACTCGAGGACATCGAAGGCGGTCTGCTGGCCGTTACAAGTTCTAATGCGCCTCCGTCAATGCCCGTCGGTATATTGAAGTATCCGAATGCAGCTGCGGCGGCAGCAGCAGCTTCAGTGGCCACAACACCGCTAACGCTACCACCGTCAACAATGAGTATATGTAGTGATGGCATAGGTCCGGGGCCGCCGCTGTCAGCAGCATTACAGACACCATCACCTGCTCTTTCATTACCCGCCGCAGCTGCGCCTAGTGGCGGTTACTTGAGTGGCATTGCGAGTAGTTATCAATCAGCGTCATATTCACAACAGCAACAACAGCAACAGCAGCAGCAACAACAACAATTACCACCTGCCACACTAGCGCTTGCCGGCGATATGCTACAGCAAACAACAACACCTGTTACGGTACTTTCGCTCCAACATGCAACACAACAATCAATATCACTACCACCGCCACCTTCAGTGGGTATACTAAATAATACGAATAACGGTGTTACGTTAGGTATGAGTTCGAGCGGTAATTCTAATGCCGGTCTTAGCAATCGTCCATCGGGGACAAGTGGTGGTATGAGCAGCTCGGTCAGCGCAGCAACGAGCGGTGGTGCAGACTCAAAGCGTGCAGGAGGATGTTGCGCTTGCTTCGGCAGTCATAGCTCCTCTTCGACAACAACGAAATCACAGCATAAAAAGCATCGTAAACAAAAAACACAAACAATTTGGTCAGCAGTACTAACGAACCTGGGGATTTGCGCTTTGCTGTTGGCGTACACTCTGTTAGGTGAGTATGATCCCCTCCTTATACTTTGAGATAATGAAAATGAATGTAACAGATGTTATTATTTTTTTTGATGGCTGCAATAGCCGAGGGGGCCCATGAGTAGAAGTTCACGACAATAAGGAAAGTTTTTTTACTACCATTCTCCTGGGGGTTGTCCAGAAACGATTCTTTTAGATATGATTTGAGAAGCTCACAACTTCCTATCTTATACCACGTAGTCCCTGGGAAACAAACGTAGCTCGCGCGATAGGGCCACGTTGCTTCGTATGACTGACCCAAAAGTTTCAAGAATTACGATTTGAAAGCGTAAAACTGGTGTTCCCAGACCCTTAATTAGGAAGGTACCGCTTCCCAGCTTTTTGATGTCCTTGTAAGAATAAAAGCTAGCATCACCGCCGACCAAGAAGTGGGATGGGACGTTGGTGAAAGCTAGTAGGTCCCTGTGAAATTTATTACAGCGGCTATATGGAGGAGCGGGTATTAATTCCGTTGGATGAACGTTTAGCAACAATCCATATCAAAGCAAAAATTTTCACCATATCGCTAACTTGCGCTTAGGCTCCGTTGCAAGAAAAGAACGATATGACGAAGAAAGCATTCTAAGCGCGTCAAAACGCGCATATTATCGTAGTTCTCGTTACAATGTGAAAATCTTACTTGGCGACTTCAATGTCAGTGTGAGCAAAGAAGGTTAATTTGTTCCAACATTCGGTAGATTCCCAACCGGTAAAGACTGATCAACTTTGACGGGACTGAAAATATGGTTGCCTATTGTGATTGACGGAAGACATGTCTCCAGTGTTCTAGATGTGCGTACTTTCCGAGTACATAACACTAATTTGGATCACTATCTTGCCGAAGCAAAGATACGCATCCATCCGTCAATAAATACTAAATCGGCTTCGAAAAGCCGTAATCACAACAGATGGCGAACGGTTTTCTACTCGGCTGTGCACCTGCTTTCTGAAAGCAATCATCAGCTAACTATTTATATATATCTAAGGTTGAAAATACGTTTTCCAAAATCACAGAAAAAGTGCTGGTACGATGAGGAACATCGAACTGCAGTGTTGAAGAAACAGACTGCCTAACCTCGCACTGTTGCGGTCGACTACTAAATGTGTGGGGTGGGATAACTACCGCGTAAAAAACGAAAATTCTATGAAAAGATGGGGCGATTAACAGAAGTTTTTAATACCAGGGGATACTCATGTAGAAGCCAATGTGGAAATCTGATAAACTTCTACATCCTACAACAAGAAACTGCGATTCAAAAAGCTGGAGAAGTCTTAGTTATAAAGGGTGATTTTTAAGAGCTACTGGGAATTTAAAAAAACACATAAAATTCAGAAAAATTAATGAAATCTTTATTTGAATCGATAGTACGGTCCATATAATTTCATGTTTGAAGATTATTTCATGCTGACCGTAACTGTGCCGCAAATGGTACATCCGCTTATGCAAATTTTGGCATACTCTTTCCAACATTTCGGTCGCCCTTCATTATTATTCATTAGAATTAACTTAGCCTCACAAAAAATAGTCTAAAGGCGTTAAATCGCACGATCAATTGGCCGATCTCGAACATGAAATTAAATGTTCACCGAACTCGCCTCTCAATAAGTCCATTGTTACGCGTGTTGTGTGGCATGTGGCACCGTTTTGTTGAAATCACATGTCATGCAAGTCAAGCTATCGCATTTTGGGCAAAAAAAAAGTTTGATATCATCTTAAAGTAAGGCTCACCCGTCACAGTTACGTTACGATTCGCTACAAACTGTGACTTTTTCTGGTTGCAGGAAGTGTTGCCAGAAAGATAAAAGCTAAAAAGTCGCACATTTATTATATATATGTTTTATATATATATATGTATAAAAGGCGATTTGTAATCGCTGAAGCAATTTTCGGCCGAGCTCCTCCTACAATTTGGGGTTTTTGCGTTTTGTTGTATTTCCAACAAATAATGGAAGGACAGTTTTATACTAAGCCGCTTGCGAACGGCTGATGGTTTTTTATGAGGAGCATTTTATTTCATGTCTGAAATACACTCGGATGGGTTGACATTTCCAGCCGAAGCACTATTTTTTATTTTTATTTAAAATAATTTTCTATGACTTTTGGTTGTTGGTCGTTTCCATTGTGCCATAATTTCAGCACATCAGATTTCACTTATATTTTTGCATTAATTTTTATTTATATTTCTTTGAAAATTCACTGAAAAAAATTAGTAAAAATTAGCAAAAAAAATTTTTGCATTCTTATTTATATTATTTACTCATTATTTATTTTCAGTAAATATTATATAATTTTGTTTAGTTTTAGCACTTCATGTTACTAAATCGTTTTTTCATTATTTTAACCAAACAACAATTATTCCGAAATGCCGAAATGCACGTGTAAAAGAGGCAGATGAGACATTGATATTAATAATCGATATAATAATCGATACTTAACATAACAATACTAAGGCCAGTGCTATAATCTTTAGGTTAGTGTTACAATATAAATGGTTTATATGAAAAATGCAAAGAATGGTAAAATTTTTGAGCAAAAACAACGTAGTCAAAAGACTGTTATAACGGTTAAACACGTAAAAAATACATAAAATAGATACATAAATTACATTTTAAAACATTAAAATACAACTAAGGTCCAACAGAATGGCAATTTAAACTACCCATAAACACACACACCCACACTCAAACAGTCAGCCAAACGGCTTTCAACACTTTCGCATACAAATTACCACTAATTGTGTACTAGATCGTCTCCAGCCGTTGGTTGGTGAGCGAGTACTGAAGCTCAATTACAAATTGTTATACTTAAAACGACTTTTTGCTAACTCAAAATGCGCAACATTGGACACAACAGGACAGCTATTAAAAGTAATACGTGACGCTCAGAGCAATTAAAGTTCGACGTTAGCAAGTGGAAAATGTTTAATATTTTAAAGAATACAAAGTTGCAGAAAATAAAAAATTTAAAAAAAAAGCAAAATTAAAAAAAAAAATTGAAAATAAAAAAAATTAAAAATAAAATCAAAATAAAAAAAGCCTTATAGCAGAAGAGCGCGCCTGTGTGTGTGTGTGAGTGTGAGATATGAGAAGAGTCAAACTAAAAGAAAAACTAGTCAAATGTTCATCTCACATTCTCATCAAGCAAACGACAAAAGGGTCAATCCCAATTTCGCTTGTCCACAACTTGTTGACCAAACGATGGAGTCAAAATTTTCTCGCACAGCGTGCTCGGAGCAAATCCAAAGTGCAATAACGATTATATTGTCTCAAGGACTTTTGCTCACTTTCGCACGCTCACCACGTTAATTAACACTTACAAGGACTTTAACTTTATACTTAAATACACACGTTTAGCTAAGAATAAACGCAGAAGATTTCTTATATTATTTCTTCAAATGACTACTTATACTACGTATGTACGTCTATGTAACACTACATACATACATATATGCACTTAAACTCTATCGTTAGTTTTGATTGTGTGGCCTGTGCTTTAATGAGTACAGGCGTAAAGCTCTTTAAAAAGTTGAAGTGTGTACAGCAACAAGAACAACAACAACAACAGCAACAACAACAAAATTGTACAGCAACTTCGTTTTAGCTGGTGCTCCACAGCACGTTTGCTTAGTCCACTGTCATTCGCCTGGCATTGCAGATATGTAGTACTGTATACCATACATACATACGGACATTATAATACAGCCAATGTGGCAACCCTTCTTGTTGGCTCTATCGTCGTTAGCTCCATTTACTTTACAAATAAACAATAATAATGTCATATACGAGTACGAGTATATGTATATGTATATGTTTGTGCTACTGTGTATAAGTAACTCATCAACGCTTATCTACTCTTGTTGGCTTGACAGCAGCAGCTGGCGTTTTGTTTGCTTGTGGGTTGACTTGTGGATACAGTGTTTTTCTAATACCGAGATTCTTTTTGATGTTGAAATTTGTCGTTTTGTAATCGATCGAGCTCCTCCAAGAACCATTTCTTCGTTTATACTAAGGCTCCGAATGTCCGATGGATTTTTTGCGGAGACTTAATTTCATTTCCTGCCCAGGGGCGACTGCAATTGGAAAGTTTACTTCAAAATATCCCAAATGAGAGTGAGTTTATTTTTATAAAGCCCTACATAAAAATCCGCCAGCCATTCGGAGGTCCATTTGTAAGAAAAGCATTAAGGCACACACCACAAATGAGAGTGGGAGCTCCACCAAAGAACCCCATTTATATATATATAAAATATGACCCAAAGAATTGCAACTATTTCAGCAGTCTAAGCGTTAGTTAATCTCTGAAAGAGCACAATTTTTCTGATATTCTCGAAGTGCCACTTCGTGCTCACATATATTTCTGCCAGACAATGGTAAGCAAGTCGTTTACGCTGCTGTCGGAGACTTAGTAATGTTGCAGGAGTGTAGAAACATGATTACCACCGTGTAGATTTAAAGAGCTATAACTCAATAAGACGTATTAGTTTCAGTTAAGCAAACGAAAAGACGACGTATTTTAATATCCATACCCATATAGCACTACTAGTGCTAGGGTCTTTAAAGAAATGAGGGTAAAAAAGGTTCAGCATAAGTCAAGGAGAAAATTGCAAGTTAATTCCACCTCATCATCATCCATATAGCCCCTACAACAAAAGCAATGCAAGATAATCGGCTTAACTATGATATACGAGTACCAACTGAACAGTGAGCAGTTATAACCCACACAAAGAACCGACTGATGTGACTTGGAAACCTCCAATATTATCTACTGACCTAAACACGGTAAGGTCGCCGAAAGTGTGACACTCCTTGGCTGCTTAAATTCGTGTTAACTCTGTTGTGTAGAACCGGCAGTCGTGAAAGTCGGTAAACCACTGTCCCTCAGGTCTGAGACCATCGAAACAGCTCGTTTCATGGACCTCCCGTTAGATGACCTCAATGACTGGGGCTAACTAGCCTGTACTTATGCGGGGTTAGAGAATCGCTACCACAACTACAACAACAGTTTGGGGATTCGTATGTCCGTTTTACACTAAGACATAAGATCTTGCGACCTCATACCATCCGGTATTATCCCAGCATTCAATAAGCCCACTTGAGGTAGATCTTTTCAAGACTTGACGTCAGGCGGCTAGTAGTATACCCATTCTTCTATTGCTCAATATTATCGATTCAAGCATACTCATATATACATACTCGCAGCTCGACATTTTAATCCATGTTGGCCACCGTGCGGCTTTCGTGCTTCTCAAGTGTGTTCAACAGCTCGCTAACGGCTGAGGTATAGAGAACAGCAGAGAGGACATAAAATTAGGTGGTAAATCTTCCATAATCTGAAATCTGACATCGCCGGACCCTTCTCAGATGTAGCAGGAAGAAAGGAAGACTTCTTTCTTCCAATCTGAATCTCTTTTTAAAAAATTTCCATCAAAAGATAAAAGAAAGTTTTAAGTTTTTCTAGGAAAAAAACCGTTTTTAACACTAATTAACGCCAACCAGCCCACTGTGCATTTCGAAGAGACCTGCTTTAGTCAGCTTTAGTGCTCATAAGCAAACAACTAAAGCCAACTACAATGGCAGCAAACAAAGTTGGTGGCACAAGTAAACACAAGAATAAACCTGAAAAAAATAAAATAAAATAAAATAAAATAAAAAAAATTATAATAATAACAACTATAAAAATAGCAAAATCAACAACAACAACAACAAGTGCAAAAGCCATGAGTACTACTTATGCAAGCCCATTGTAGCGAATATAGCACTACTAGTGCTGTGACACTACACCAGCCAAGCAGCAAACACTTGACGCTTCCGTTTGGACCCTCATTATCGTGCAAATAGCTGTTGATGAACCCCCACACAAATGGTTGCTCCACTACATACATACATAGTACATGCTTAGATATGCGGCGCTTTGTTGTATAAAAATGGGGTAAAGTGTTGGTGTACCTTGGTTATGCATAACGGGAATTCATCTTCATTTCCCTTATACAACAATAAAAACAACAATAATAAAAACAACAATAACAGTGAATGCTTTACTTTAAGTATGTATATATACACATATATATATATTGTATTATAAATATATGTACTTTTCCTACTTGTTTACCACTTCTTCTTCACCGCTTCTATTCTGACATTTCATTGTCATTCGCACACAGGTTCATTCATATTTCTAACAATCGAGAGCGAAGACTCAACGTTCCTGCAACACCATCAACACTATCAGTACAGCCATCAACATGCCGTATTGCAACGACAACGTCAACAGCAACAACAACAACAACAACAACATCAGCAGCAGCAGCAACTGCAGCGTACACTCGCCTCAACAAAACGTGGCAGCATTGGCAGTAATGTGGAAAATATTTATCACACTTCACCCGAACAACAAATGCATCTATTGGACAATGGCACTGCATTATCAACACTAAATACATACACTTCAGCGTCCGCGTCCGCGGCCACGGCATCCGCATCAGCATCATTATCTGGCGCTGCTTATATTTCCTCCTCGTCGTCTTCTGCCACTTCTTTCTTTTCTTCTTCAGCGTCAAATGCTGGCTCTTCTTCACCTGTCAATGGTGTACTCGAGGGCATTGTACCGTTGGGCGTTGAGAATACTAACACTGATGTTGGTGATTTCGGTTATGGTGATGAACTGCACGGCGCTGATGGTGGCGTCACTTCGGCACAATTGGCGCTGTCCGCGGATACGCAGGAAGTGCGTCAGCGTACCATTGAGAATATATGGGATATAACGGTGTCGTTGAATATACTGTACAAGGAGAATTGGACGAAGTAAGTGTAATGAGTGAATGAATGAAGAATTGTGATTTAGTATTATATTTTGTATTTATTATTTGAAGGTGACATTTTATATATTGAAATGATTTCAAATTAATTTAATATTATAATTAAATATTTTGTTATTACATATAGTAAATATACTTTTACTACCATGAGGTGTAACGTATTTTTTAATATTTATAAAATATTTTTAATTAAGTATTGAATGCATTTAAACGAGAGATTTACCCTTTTCTTTTCAATATAGTTTAAAATATTATCAAACCGAATACAGTTATTTTAATAAAAAAAAAATATTTTCTTTTAGTTTTTTGTCTCTGCCTTCAAAACTACTCCAAATGTCCCTGTTGACTTTGTTATAATCAATAGATTTCCCAACCCCTCAACTTTTTCTTTTGCATAGTGAATAAACACAGGCTACTGGGGACGGCTTGGGAGCTCCGTGGTAATTAAGGCAAGCATTCAAAGATACGCCCGTGCTATAAAAGCTGAATTTTTTAAATTATCTTTATGCTAATATTCGCTATAAAAGTAATTTAGCCTTAATCCAAATTCTTATATGAGCTTACTCCGAAAAAGTGTTTTAACTATTTCTCTAAAATGTATTTTGAAATTGTCTCTACGGCGCATAGAGCTTGCTGGTACACTTCAGTCAAGTATAAATCAATTTTAAAAAGCGAAAGTCATTGATAAATCAGTGATTTACTTTAAAAGGTTTTCCTTTTTATTTATTTTTTTTTCTTTTTTTGCTTAATTTCATCAAAAGCGTGGAACTGGACTAATAACAAATATTAAAACAACTTCCCCAGTTTAGCTCTGCTCTAACTATTTTACTATTTATTGTTTAACCTGTCATCGTACATATGCATATATTTTAACATAAATTATGCTTAAATGTCCATGAATTGCCATTAATAATTAATTATAATTTATATATTTATTAACAATAATAATATTTACACCGACTCTAAGCTGATTGTAAATTTCAGTTTGATATATCGAAAGTCCGATAAATTTTCACAATAACACCATTAGTATAGATTTCATGTGGTAATATCGTCCCTCAGGCAGGCGTCAGTGCTATGTTGTACAGGGCGTATGAGTGATATTTTTTGTTCCCAGATTTATTTGATTTATATATGATATATTTATTTATTTATTTATTTTATTTATATGTGACAGTTATTTATTTATTTATTTTTATTAATATATTTATTAAATTATTTATTTGTTTATTGATTATATATTTATCTAATTATTTTTTTATTTATTATTCATGTATTTATTAATTTTTTATTTATTTATTTATTTATATATTTATTTATTTCTTTATTTACTTATTTATTTATTTATTATTTATTTATCTGATTATTTATTTATTTATTATTCATTTATATATTAATTTTTATCTAATTATTTATTTATTTAGTTATTTATTTATTATTCAATTATTTATTAATTTTTTTATCTATTTTTTTATTAATTTTTTATCTATTTATTTATTTATTTAGTTATTTATTTAGTATTCATTTATTTATCAATTTTTTACCTATTTATATATCTATCTTTTTATTTACTTAGTTATTTATTTATTAATTAATTATTAATTATTATAAATTATTTATTGATTTATTTATTTATTTTTTTATCTATTTATTTATTTATTTATTTATATATTTATTTATTTCTTTATTTACTTATTTATTTATTTATTATATATTTGCTTATTTATTTAGTTATTTATTTAGTATTCAATTATTTATAAATTTTGTATCTATTTATATATTTTTATTTACTTAGTTATTTATTTATTAATTTATTTATTCATTTATATATTTAATTATTTATTGATATATTCATTAATTAATTTTTAATTTTTAATTTAATTTATTTATTAATTTTTTATCTATTTATTTATTTATTTATTATTTATATATTTATTTTATCTTTATTTAATAATAATATATACGCATGCATAATATGTATGTATACAAAATTTTTTTTTTTTGCTGCATTATTTGGTCACACATTTTTCTATCTTCTCTTCACTTTTTTAATTTTATTGTCCTTCTCTTGTTCTTTTTACTTTTTCTGCTCTCGCCTCACACTCGTAATGTCTATAACCGTTTCCTTGCATACTTTTAGGTTAGCCGCTTTGGAAATTGCCAAATTTCAAGACCAATTAATCAAGAGACTGAATGAGGATGCGCTTTTGCAATTATCACATGAAATGGATGGCAGCCTAACAGCTGCTGCTGATGGTGGTGACAGCGGAAATGGTGCGACGATTGCCGGTAATAGTCCGGCAACGGAAGCTGTGCTCCTACACACACATGGCGGTCATTATGGTCATGGTCATGGAACGCATGAATGGAATTTTGCTAAAGCATTTCTTTACTCGCTCACCGTACTAACGACAATTGGTAAGTGTTTTCCTTTCTGTTCGGCAATTAAATATATTGAAGAAAGAATTTTCTTTTATTATGGCCTGTATGTAATGGTCAACTAAAATTAAAATCGATTTGAAACTCACTTTAAGTGTTGTATATGAAAAAAAATAAAAAATTTTATAAATTCACTATTTTATGGTAGGCAACAGTATCTTTTAAGACCGACTCTCTAGTCAAGGAAGTATCTACTGTTACTTCTTGACTTACATATAACGGAGCCGGGCCTATATTTTTTGATAACTATTTCAAGCCTTTCGGAGTCACTAAAGCACACAAGGCAGTTTTTTCAAAACAAAAAACATTTTCTTGATTTTTTTAAATAATTTCCCCATAAGAACCATAGCAACTGATTAAAGGTCTTTCTTCGGTCTTTTGAACAACATAAAAAACGAGTGCCCAAGGCAAAACTTTCTTCGACCTAATTTAAGACATACATACGATATGTCAATCGAAGACACTGCTGAGATACCCTTGAACTGTAATAAATACGCATGTATGTGCTTACCATTTACCATTTACCATTACACCCACAAACGCAGCAGGAGATATCGTAAATTTTCATTTATGCCAATGACAATAATGGCCAATAATGGCATACAGTCAGAGTCAAGTAAAAATAGAATTGAATATAAACATACATATGTATGTATATATTTATGTCATTCGGCCATCCTTTTGGCACTTCATACATACGAGGACTCTTTGATAAGTTAGTGACTTTTTTGGAATCCTCCACCATCAATTTCAGTGATTAAGAAGCGGTTTACCAAATTCTTTTGTGGTCGTACCGTTACAAGTGACGCTGAACGTTCAGTTCGCCCGAAAGCGTTCGTTGCGTCAGAAATCAACGATCAAAGTCGTGGAATAATATTGAATGATCGGAGAGCATATGTGCCTATAGGTATCCCAACTGAGTGGATACATCCCATTTTACTTTAAAATTTAGACAGGAAAAAGGAAACCATGGAATGAAAGCTCACGAAAGACTAAGCGGCTCTTGTGGCGTGTAATCACTTCAAAAGAGTGTTTGGCTTTGTTCAGCCACAATTCAAACGAATTTTCGCGGCATTTCATTACTACACCAAAGGCCTTAAAATAATTACTCGTAAGATAGTGAATTTCTTCAGGTGAACATGCACTAAAAAAAGTCAAGGTGGACTCGTTCGCAAAAAAATTTAATGACCATATTTTTTATGGATGCACAAGATGTCATTCATGTCGATTACCATGCGAAGGCTAAAGTGATCACCGCCTGAATGTTATTCAGAGCTTTTGAAACTCCACAGAAGTTGACAAATCAGAACAGACTGTCTCTCACGTGACGGTCACCAGATTATCGAGAGAAACTGTGAGGTGGATGAACTTACTAAACAAGGTGCGACCAATCAAATTTTTCTCGCTTAAGAATGCACTGGTATGCTTTTTGCCACTTGAAAACTGCTACTGAAGGATTTTACATATAAACAAGCTGCAACAAAGTGGAATGGCACTACAACCCACCGCAAATCCAGGCACGCCTGGCTGAAAAGTGAAGAGAAGAGATTTCCAAATATGTACTCCTTAAAAAGTGGCGGCATGTCCAAAGTTATAAGAGTTCTAACAAGCCACTGGCTGATAGAACGTCACGCGGAAAGACTTGGAGCTCCCTATAGATGCTGCAGAAGCTGCAGATTTGCTGAGTTGGAGTAAACGATCACCCATCTCTTATGCGACTGTTCGGCTATGGATGCGATAGATCTAATAAAGTTCATTAAAGAATCAAAAAGGCTGGGTAATGGTGTTCAAGTTTTTGTGGCTACACAATGGTTCTTAGGGGTTACTAGGGAAATTATAGCCTATTTTGAGGGCCCTGAAAAAACTTAAAAATTGGAAAAACGCCGGAACTTAATGTATAGAGCCTAACAAAAGACTATTTTAACAAATAAACCGCTTATTTGCCGAAAAAAAGTCACTGACTTATCAAACCACCCTCGTACATACAAACACGCGACATATATAAACTACTAGGCAAATACTGAAGATATTCAAGAAAACAATAAAGCCAAGAATGGTGCAGGCGTAATAGCTCCAAAAGGACCTACACATGTACATATACATATACATATAAGTACTTACACCACAAACAATAAAGAATCTTCATAATATATTTGCAAATTGCCAATATCAGCAGAAATTTTGCGTTTCTTCCACATTTTGCTGTTTTTCTCTTTTTTTTTATTTTCAATTTGCAAAAGACATACTACATAAGCTAAGGGAATTGACTGTTATAGCTTAACAGGCTCTACTTTTGCATATATTATTGGTATTTTCTATGCTAACTTTCGCAATGAATGGAAAAAAGGAGAAAATTTTCATTTTCATCAATGCTTTGTGGCAATACCAGAATCTTAGCATATTGAATTTGTTACGCATGTGTATGTATGTATGTGATTATGTAAGTGTGCGTTGTAGGGGTGTCAGTTTTACTACACCATGTGCTTCCACATTCAATACAAATTGACTCTTTCTCTCATTGTATTTGTATGGTAAGTGATTTGCTTGTAAATAAAAATGCAAAGCATATGCACAGGCGCAGCGGTATTTGTTGGCATTGCGACTTTGTATTTCATGACTTCAGCGTCAAGCTTTAGAGCTATAAAATCTCAAAAACAAAACAAAACGTAAAGTGGAATGCAAGTTTACAGTAATAAATATTGCAAAAGTAAGTAAGTCGCATACCAACAGCAGCAGCAGCAGCAGCAACAACAGCACAGCAGAAACTATAAAATATAAAGTTTGCATAGTTTGCATAGTTTACATAGGGGCTGCAGATGTTTTTCTGGTATTTTGTTTTGTGCCTAATTTTATTTTATTTTTTTTTCGAAAATTTTATTTAACAATTAAAATCTTTTTTAACCTAAAAATGGTTTCCCACGTTATGATGCTCCACCCTTTTTAGAAAAAGCCGTACTTTAAGCAGTAAAGGGAGAATAACTAATAAGAATTAGATTAAGTTACACTGACCGGTTAATATTCTTCATGTAGTTGTGTTGTACCTCAGTTGAGCCAGTTGGAAGTTCAATACAATTCGAGCTGTCAATTATATAATCAAAGCGTCGCTTGTGTACCCAAAATGCGTACTGAAGCTCTTTTGAGAGAGATCGCGTTAGCCAGAATTTCGTATCTACTCCTTCGCTACATTTGCTCACGATCGTGGCGATCTTGTAGGCATCTCACAGTGTTATGTCTTTCAACTCCTTCATCGACGTCGCCTTACAGAGTCTATCATTTCCTATTCTGTTCACTAAGGGCAAATGTATTTCATCAACAGCGAAATCGAAGTAGTTCGATAGATAGTATTGCCGACTTGCCGTACTTAGATATTCCACTCTAAATGAATTATATTGAGTGTCGTTCTAATCGCTGGAATATAAGAGTGAATAGAGATCTGCTTCATAAGAATGAAAATCCAGAACAGCGAGCTCACTGATGCCACACTTCTGCTCGAATGCGCTATTTCGCCTTGGAAGTCCGAGTCTATATACATATTTATGTTAATTTATACCTTCTAATATAAAGATAAATCCCAGATTTAAGCGTAAAGCTTCGTTATACACCGTCTCCCGTCAATGCAATAGAGCTATGGTAGCTGATAAGTGCCTATCTGGCTCATAAGCACTAATTGTTACGGGGAGCAAAGAATTTTTGAACCTCCAGAGGCTCGAACTCAATCGGATTTCAGTGAGCTAGTGGGCAAATTTATAAGAGAGACTCATCGTTCCATCGTCAGCGATATTCGCCATCGCCAATGCGCAAAGGATCAAAAATCTTACGAAAAACATTTCTCTCGAAAACTCCCAACGCCGACTCATACGATGTTGTCATCTTCCATTCTTCCGCACCATATAGCAGGACGGGAACGATGAGGGACTTTTAGAGCTTAATTTTCTTTCGTCAAGAGAGTATATTACTTTTCAATTCCCTACTCAGTCCAAAGTAACACCTGTTGGCAAGAGTGATTCGGCATTGGATTTCCAGGCTGACATTGTTGTTGGTGTTAATACTGGTTCCAGAATAGACGAAATAATCTAAGACTTCAAAGTTTTGACTGTGACGTGGAAGCGAAGTAGCAAATGCTATGACTGTTTGTGTGATGACAGGAGATATTTTGTCTTACTCTCGACCCATACTAGACCCAAATCCTTCGCTTCTTTATCCAGTCTGGAGTAAGCAGAACTCACGACGCGGTTGTTGAGAGACTGCTAAAAGGATGATGAAAATTACTAGCATGACTCACAATTTAGCGCGAAACTACGTCCACTGTGTATCAAGCAGCCTACAGTTTCATTCTGACTTACGCATTTATCTTAGATATGAGACAAGTAAATAAAAAAATATATCTTTCGGCAACATTTAGCAGTCTCAGGCATCAAATAAATTCGTATGAGTATAAAATCTGACACAGCTAAGGAACACTCGTAGTGTTAAGAAGAATAAGAAGAAAAGCATTACCCACTCAAGCAGGTGCTTCCCGCAGCTTGCAACATCTAGTCAGATAGCTCCAGCACTGTCACTGTCAAAATTTTTAAGCTAATCAACTAAGCAAAGCACGGCTGCGGTTGGGCGATCGTCTTTTTTTTTTTTTTTTTGCTGGGGAATGTCTAGATTTTGTTTTCAATAAGTATGGATTTCAACCACAAAATCCTTCTGGATTCGATCGTCTATGCGTCTGTGGTTTGAGTATAAAGATTTGAAAGAAATTGGTTTTTGCGGTTAATAAAGAAACTATCTTTCTTCACTACCCTAGAGCCGAACTGTATAGCCATGAAAACGCCAAATATCCTCAACCAGACCCGCCTCCCTCATTTAACTGCGAAATTTCACTTTTTTGCCTATAAATTTGTCTTTATCAAAAGCCATTAGCATTATTTACATTTTTATTATTTTCCTGTCATCAATAAAAACGCCACTTTAAGCACATTAAAGAGTCATAAAAACGTCAATAATCAAAAACAAAAAAAAAAAACAAAAAAAAAAAAAAAAAAAAAAAAAAAAAAAAAAAAAAAAAAAAAAAAAAAAAAACAAATAAGAAAGTTAAAACAATATGTGGCTAAAAAAAGTAAAAAAAAAGAAAGAAATAATGGAGTTTCTTTCATCTACATACTTAATTTTATACATATACACTCTCCCGTCGAAATTCAAGCAGTCAATATTGTAAATTTTTACTGTTATTTACGCTATTTAAAACAACACAAATGGCTTGTATCCCACAGCGCCTTTCGGCTGCTCAAGCGCAAAATTTGTATCATTTCATGAATATCTTATTGTTTTATTACATCGCGCCCAGCGTTCCAAGGGACACATACATATATGTATGTAACATTTTTATGAATAAATGTGGATAATGAAAAAATGCTTAATAGAAGATAAGCAAGTCAATTTAGCAAACAACTTGCAATTTATTTAAATATCATTCATACTCATATAAGAGATGATTGTTTTTATCTCGATATTCATGGTGGTTAATCATATTTCCTTTACGTAACCCTCAAAATAGCTACAGCAGCTGAGTGGTTTACATTCTAAAGACCATCGAGTGCGGGTTAAACCAACAAAAAAAATTATGCAAAATTATTTTTTCTTTCATTAATACTCTCGCCCCTCGGTGTGGATTGTCAGTACTGCCGAGTGGATTTTTGACAAAAAATCAAATTCCTTTCGGTGGCGGCTTAGTACAAACTGTAGGCCCCTGCATTTGTTGAAAAAAATTCAGACGTAAACCACAAATTGAAGGTGGAGCTCGGCCGAAAATAGCTTGAGCAGTTACAAAGCGCTAATTATCTATGTATATACGAGGTGTGACTATGAAGTAATGAGACTGTTTTCTTAAAAACCGTATATCTCAAAATCATTCTATAACTCTGCCATTCCTTTCAAAGTAGCACCCTCGGGCAGCTATGCAACGATTCCAGCGCGTTTTCCATGCTTCATAACACTTCTGGAACGCTTGGACTGGGATGTCCGCGAGTACCCTCGTCATGGCCGCCTGGATGTCCGCAATTGGCTCAAAATGAGTTCCTTTGACCACTGATTTTGTTCTGTGGAACAAAAAAAAATAGTCATTGGATGATATATCGGGCGAATAAGTGGTAAGGCGTGGCTGTCGTAAGAGGCGACTATAATCCAAAGTTACCGCGACTGTCGGAATGGCTCGGATTTTTACACAGCCAAGGTCTGGTACTTCCGCAATATGCCCCGAAAATCAATTCGGGGAATATTTTGCGACTGCAAAACAACAACAACAAATTTTTCAAAGTAAAAACTCGAACTGCAAGTAGGTTTTAATATTTTTGCCAAAAAAAAAATATCTCAAGGCAACCTGCTTCAAAAAGTACTTACAGTGCTGCCACTTAGTTCTTATATTCAAATAGAGTGTTAAATGAAAACCCATAAATATTCAATAGCTGTTCGAAATGAAGGGCTTAGTACTCTATTGGTCATTAATAATCACATTCACTCACGATCTGGTAACTTTTAAATAAATTTTTTTTTTTTTTTCAAAAACTCACTACTCACTTTTAATGAAACGTATATTTTTTCTTTTTATTTCTTTTATTGACGTCCATAGGTTACGGCAACATCGCACCACGCACTACACTCGGCCGCTTGGTAACGCTCGTCTATGCCATATTCGGCATACCACTGACGCTCGTTTATCTCTCCAGTACTGGTGGCATTTTAGCGAAAGTGGCACGCGAAGTATTCTCCAAAGCGTTATGCTGTTGTCTGTGCTCGAATTGTGGCTATTGTTGTTACGATGAAAAGCGTATGGCCGAAAAGGAGCGTCGCATGAAACGTAAACGTCAGCAAGAGGAATTGCGTAAACAGCAAGTGACCCTGCAGGAACCATACTATGTACACGATACATTTCAAACGACGGAGAAACATACAAATCTACCTGGTAGTACACAAACTTTACCACCCGATATCGATTCGTTGAGTGCAAGTGAATCGCGTGGTTCCATGCATGGTTTAAGTATATTAGCGCCGATACTGCTGTGCCTGTCTATGATGGTCATTTACATACTAATTGGCGCTGTGGTATTGTATCGCTTAGAGGATTGGCCCATACTTGATGGCATCTATTTTTGTTTTATGAGCTTATCAACAATTGGTTTCGGTGATATGCTACCAGGTTTACGTCGGGAGTCCACCACGACAACATGGTTCTGTTCGATCTACATTATGTCTGGCATGGCGCTGACGGCGATGTGTTTCAATGTAATACACGAGGAAATCGTGCATCGCATTAAAATCGTAGTGGAATTCAAGAAGAGTGGCAATGTGCTGATGGATACATTGGGCGAGGAACAGGGTTACTATATGCCATCTTGACAATATGAAAAGGGTACTAGTTTGTACAAACGCAATCCCACCGAAGAAACACTGGTGTCGGGTGAGAGAAAAGAAAACCAATTAGCACATTTGAATAGCAATAATTCTTACCTAAATTCTTCGCTTTCTTTTATGTAGGCACACCAACTTCGCTCGCATATGGCGCTCAACTAGATACGGAACTAAATCAGATGCATGCTTTGAAGGATTATGTTAATCATGAGCTTGTGCCCATACTCACTATGGATCCAAATAGCTCGACAACAACTTCAACACATCTCCTAAAGGGTGGCAACACTAATGTGCTACCTTTGAATAACCTAACACCGTATACAAGTGCGCCAAGCACAGCAACGACACCATCTAATCTGCTACCAACAGGCTTGGGTCTGTCCACCTTGAGTACGCCGCCGGAGACGTCTATTAGCGGTAATGCGGCACAAGCTGGAATGAGCGTTTATACACTTAGTGAAGAACCGGAAATGGAAACTTAAAATATTTTAGATTATATTTACGTAGCAGGAATGAAAAACATTAAAAAAGAAGAACTATGTTAGCTATAGCTTAGGATTACTCATATACTCTTAGGGCACTAGGCGTAAATTTATACATACATACATATATATTGTAAATAATAACTAGGTTAGGTTAGTTTAAGCTGGCTGACCCATTGGGTCGCACATAAGTATGTAGACGAAATACATGCATGGTGTTGCCGGGCAGACCAAGCTACACTTCGATTGTGTCTCCAGTATGAAGAACACTGCTAGATACATACATGCATGCCTACATATGTATGTATTTAATTTTAAAAGTTGAAAGTTGAAAGCTTGCAAAGATTTTTCCAATGCGAGCTCATTACCAGTTTTTAGTAACAGCATATTAACAGTAAATATGGACACTAGGAATACTGCAAAGGACTATTTGCGACTCAACTAAATAACTGCTTCTTGCCGATTTGAATGGCTCAGCCGTAGACGAGCGCTTCAAATGATTTGTGTCTCTTTGAATGATCAGTTTGTTGCTTCTCAAGCCTTTTTTGTTTGATTGCGAATTCCCATTCGCTCCTCTTCTTACCAAAATTTGGTGGAGCCTCAAAAAAAAAGAATAGTACAGTCAAAATCTTGCGATAGAGATTACATACATATCTGTGCACATATATAAAAAACTGTGTAACTGCTCTATTAATTGGAAAAATATTTACTTTTACCATTTGCACACTGAGAAAAATTAATACTGATCTCTTTGATTGAGACATGAGTTCAAACGATTGCCTCAGTAGTGCTCTCCAACAAATGGTGACAGTGGTTATAAAGCAAAAATTTCCTTTTCTTTATTGGAGCTATGGAAAATCTAAACCCGGCAAAAACGTCAAACAGTTTGATTGCGTCAGTTATTTGGTGGATACAACGACTTACGGACGGCTCATAGATAGAAGATCTAACGTTCTTTGCCCTCCAGGGGACATTGATAGCACACAGTTGTTGAGAATTGCAAGAAGTTCAAAACCTTGAAGCATTTTTATAGTGTTGAAACTGGGAAAATACTCAAAAGTCACATTATTCAAATGTGTCTCTGCAGTTATTAGTGTTTTTCTTCTGCCTTTTGGTTGACTATCAAGTTCAGCAACGTTTTCTTCAACTGAATACGAAGTTCATCTACATTTATAAATTCCGAAACGGTAATGCAACTCAAGTGGAAAGTGTCTTCTACTTCTCCAAGCAAACTTCTATCCAAAAAGGTAGGGTACGATATCCCTCACCTTTGGAATAGAACGTATGTCAAATACTCCAAAGCCAATTTTAACTATTATTATCAATAAAATATCAATGTTTTGTCGATGGAACCGAAAAACGTTTGAATACAATAGAGAATTACAGCAGATAATCTTTATTGTTCAAATGTTTTTCATTTGCCATTTTTTTGTAGCTCTATTTTGGGTGCTAACTGACACAGGGTGAGCTCGTTAAAAGTTTTTAAATTTTTGGGCATTTTTATTTTTTTTTTTTATTAATTTTTTTTTTATTATATGAAAATGAGAATGTTACGCAAAAAACGTTATATTCCATATTAAAAAATATATGAAAAATAGTTTTATTTTTTATTTTATTTTGCAATGTTCGAAGATTTCTAATTAACTTTTTATGCATAAATGGTAGTACTAATTTAACATTTTGTTGAAACCAAGCAAGGCGAATTCAAATAAAAAGAATTTCTCAAGACAAATTCACACAAGAATACAAAAACAAAAGGCCTATGTATTTCGTTTGTATAAGCGAACATTCGAAATGACAAAACCTATTTCTCATGTATTTGTTTTTTTTGTGTAATTTATTGAATTGAAAGGAAGTACAAGCAATCATATGTTGTGACAACTTCACCTTCTATAATAAATTCGTTTTGGAATTTCTCTATCAGCTGTTCACAAATCGACAGCCAAATTGGATTGTTTTGAATATTTTTGTTTATTTATAGAGTTTCACATATTGTGCGGCCTTCAAAGTAGAATAACTAACGCTAAACCAATAAAAAAAAGTGGAAAAACTAAGCGTCTCTTTCAGGCTTGAGCTTACAGCTGGTTGATAGACTGTAGAATGGTTTTATCTGTATGTTGTGTCCGTATTTGACACACATTTGGTTTTCTTCGGTATCTTATGAAAATAGCTTATATGAGTATTTTCATGGAAATTTTTGTAATATTTCAAAGTCCGTAATACTTTCCTCGTTCATAAGTGACGAAGGGAAAAATATATTTCCGAAAGTGCAGCCAACGAAACTTTATCTAAATTTCGAAAATCACATTTAAGAAGCAAAACAGAATTTCTGGAGAACAAAAAATTAAAAAAAATATATATATCACCAGTGGAGATAATAATAATTGTGGTTTTGACAACGCACACGTAGATATTAAAAAATTGTTTAAGCTAAACAAAAATAGAATATCCTATTTGTATAAGAATTAGCGATTAGTGTGTTATTGTAAAAAATGTAAATTTAATATATTTAGAAAAACAAATATATATAGTAAAATATATAATAATTAGTAATAAAAAACAATAATTCCAATTAGTAAATAATATGTATGTGGTTAAAAAAACAAAAATATGACATATTTATTCAGTTTTGTACGATAAAAAGGTGAAAAATACATACATACATATGTATGTACAAAAAAAACATATTTTGTAGTAAAACTATAATTCGAATTAATGAAAATAAATTGACAAACACTTGTGCTAAGCCACTTTCGCATACTCATAGATTCTAAATCTTTTTGTACATGTCAATAAATATACCTTTAGTTGTAAAAACTTAATAATAACAAAATATTGTAGATACAAAAAAATTGAGCATTTAAAATGTTAATGACGTAACGCATGTCATTGAATACGTATTAGTTGAATTGAAAGAATTTTTAAAATCAAATACTTCCCTATTTAATGATATTAAGCATAACAACAAAATATATATGTAGTTTAACAAAAACTTGTAAATTTATAAAAGAAAAAAGAACCAAACAAATGCAGTAATTATAGAAAATAAAATTTATTAATTGTTATATTGTATGGGTTTAAATTAAATTGGGTACAAGACTTATAGAGAAAGGTAAGTAAGAATTTCCAATATCTTTAAAAATTCGTTAAATGTACTAAATATAGATATTTTAAGGCTAAATGAAGAAAAAAAATCACAAAGCGGGTATAAAAGGATATCGCGTACCTCTGTAAAAAATTTCTGTACTATGTAGAGGAAATGTCCAACACGTCTGCACTTCCGGTTTCCATTTTAACGCATTTTGCGTAAAAGTGACGAAATCTTTCGTGCAAAGTTTTCCCAAAAAAATTTTTATTTATAATGCTTTGAAGAACATTTATTATTATTACTTATTTATATAAAATATATAAGAAAATTCAAGAAATAAAAAAAAATCAATTCCACAAAATTTTCTTGAATAACCTACACTCTGTGCTCAGAACATGAAAAGGTAAACTTGGCAGCACTGTATTTGTGTTTATTAACTTTCTAAGCGCAACTTTTAAATAATTTCAATTTAGGCACTTAAAAATGCCCAAAAGAAGGGTTCTTTATGTGCACAATGAAAATTTAATGCAACAAGCTGACAAAAACCCCGCTGTTAGGGGTAGAGTAAGTATATCTTATTAATAATTTAAAAGACTGTGTCATGTTATACACCTATAACTGCAGGCAACATTGACGCATTCGCTCATTGGCTCTTATGGTCTACTTATGCATATGCAAAGACTGAAGCCAAAGATTTGCACATATGCAGATTTACGAAGCTTTCACAATCACGCTTACGTTGAACAGTTGGTAAAGAAAGTCACGCAGTCTAAGCAGAAAGTGTCCGAAAATGCATTTATCGCAGATGAAGGTGAAAAAAATTCCACAAGTGAAGATGAAGCTGACAACGACTATTGTTTGGACACTACATTTGCACACAAAGAATACGGTTTAGGTTTCGATTGTCCTAGTTGGCGTGGCATGTGGGAATATGTGTGCGCAGTAGCTGGTGGTACTATGAGCGCTTGTGCGGCTTTATGTAAATATGGCACCAAAAATGACTGCAATCAAACCATTATTATTAATTGGACAGGTGGCTGGCATCATGCACAACGTGAACGTGCAGCTGGCTATTGCTACGTTAATGATATCGTTTTGGGCATATTGGTGTTACGAGAGCATTTCAATCGTATACTTTATATTGATTTAGATGTACATCATGGCGATGGCGTACAGCAGGCGTTTGAAATAACCAAACATGTTTTTACATTTTCTATGCATCAATACGAATGCGGTTTCTATCCCGGCACAGGTGGTATAGATGATTGTGGTTTTGGCAGTGGCAAGGGATACGCTGCGAATTTCCCCTATCATAGTGGCATAAGCGGTGGAAATTTTTGTAAATATTTTAAACGGTTTGTAGAAAATCTTTACACGAAAAAATATTAATATTAATAAATATTTCGCTTTCAGCATATTAACTAAAATTTTGGCATGCTATAAACCTGAAGCGTGTGTGGTACAGTGTGGTGCAGATGTAATTGTTGGCGATCCACTTGGTGATACTAATCTCACACCAGCTGATCTATTAGATTGCTTCGATTTTATATTGCAAAGCGAACTGCCAACCGTATTTTTGGGTGGTGGCGGCTATAATTTTACAAATGCTAGTCGATTTTGGACACAACTGACTGCCTGTTGTTGTTCTGTAGAATTGCCAGATGACATACCTGCTGATGATAAATATTTTCTAAAATATGGTCCTGATTATAGTTTACATATTAAAGCTTCCAAATTTATGAAAAACCTGAACACCTTGGAACACTTGGAAACTTGCGCAATAGCCATTGAAGGTACGTTTCTAGAGGAAAAAAGTAATCTTAACACATTTTTATAGGTCAATTTTGTAACTTTATTATTTTACTGCTTATGTACATAGACATAAATTACATGCGGAAACTTTTTTCTTACAGATAATCTCGAGAAGTACAATGTAAAGGCGATCTGAACTTCAAACCTTACTAGGTGATCCTAATTAATTTAAATTTATTCACTCGACTGTTTGTATCTAAATATTCAAAATTATTTCATTTGTTGGTGATTTAAAACAAATTTTTGTTTTCTACTGTTTGTGAAATTATTACTTATAAACTAAATATTAATGTATTAGCATAAAAAAAATTCAATACTCCTCTCAATATTAAGTCCATTACACACACTGCATACCAACTTAGGGTAGTATTGTGCGTCCTCCAGAGCCGCTGCTACTCTTGAAACGTTTATTTGGCGATGCACTACCCAATTCTGGTTTAATGCGTGTTGGTGACTGCACGTTGCCTGCTGCGCCAGCTAAACCCGTACCAGGGGATGCACCACTCTGCACGGGATCCTGCAACCACCTAACTTGTGTCGCTGGGCCATAGCCCTTGTCATTACGCGCCGCTATACGAAATATAATAGCTGGTTTGTTTGAACAATCTACGTGTGCTGTAGCTAATGATGAGTGCGCCACAGTACATTGATTGGCTGCACCAACATAGACACGCACAAATGCCAGTTGCGCAGGGAGACGTGCGCCAGCACCAATTGGTTTGCCATCTTTGTCTTTGCCCGGCTTAACCGCCAAATATACAGAATATTCGACAATTTCGTTAGATGTTACACAGCTCGGTGGTGGCTCCCATGTGAGGTGAGCACCTTCGGATGATTTCGATATTTTAATAGCTGACGGTGCACCAGGGAAACCTGGTAGGCAAGTTTTAAAACTTGAAATCTCACTCCAGTCACTAGCGCCACAAGTATTGATAGCGCGCAAACGAAAACGGTAAGCTGTGCCAGGCTCCAGATTTGTACGTGGGATTGCTGATAGATCCGGTAAGTTTCTAGAGGTCAGTTTCAAGCCCGAAGACGACCAAATGCTATTATCAATATACGAAGATACTGTAGCATTAAGTCCAGTATAAATGCCCACGGTATGCCATTTGGCATCCTCTTCATCTATAGGTGGTCCAGTAGGTGTAACTAAGGGTGCTTCATTTTCTCCAGCTGACACGTTACCCGTTGATGCTGGCGGTGGCATATCGGTGCTAGAAGAAACATGATGCTCGCCGGATTGGCTACTCACATTATCAATCCCGTTACCATTGTTGTTCGCTTCATCAGCATGTGCAGTGTGGGTATCTGCGCTGGTAATATCTTCTTTATTACCTTCAGAATTCAGATTTGTTGCGGCACTTTTCATGCTAACTGTAGGTGTGACAGGCCTCTCTGTACGTTCATCTGTTTCCATATGAACCGGCGCGTCCGTTGCCGCATCTGATTCGTTAGCTGAACCCGAAGCATCCCTTGCTTCCATTGTCTATAGAAAAAGTGTGTGTGTTTGTTTGTATATATTTAAGAAATATTTATTTAATGGATACCTTTTTTACAAATTCACGAGTTGAACTTTATAAGCTGTTACGTTTTATCTAATAAAAGTATTACACGATATTGTTTATCACTTTATTAGTTAAATTTTTTTAGTTTTATGTTCAAAGAATCCATGAGTATCTAAATAATGAGATTTAATACAAATGTGAAAACTTTTTCCTAAGCAAAACTCGATTTTTTGTTTGTAGACGCGATCAGCTGTGGCGTGGTAAAATTAAATGTTGCCAGGAGGAAATAAAAAATGCCACAGCAACAAAGCTGCGCTTAATATAGTGGCCGCACGTGCATTTTTCTCTTCAAAAACTATCGAGTGAACTTTTATGGTAAGTCTCACTAAAAAATTGCTCACCTGCAGGGCTCTGAATAATTTTTTGTAGTCTTTAAACATTATTTTAGATGTGTAAATACTATCAATGGTAGTTAAGTAGTTTTGTATAATCTTAAAATAGTGAATTTTACAAACAGTATAAATTAATATTTAGTAGTACCCTGTTTGATGTGTACGGCAGCAGAATACAGTTTGAAAGGCACTGTTTTAAGGATTTTTTTTACTTAAAACGGAAATAAAAAATTTGTCCACCTAGTTTAATTTCATTTAAAATATTATATTTATATAATGCAGATTAAAATTTAAATTTATCATTACTTGCTCAGAATAATTGTAATTAAAATAATACAGTAGTAATTACAATAACAATCAAATACCGAAACAACCGTTAAATGATATATAAGAACGTGTGTTAGTGACGAACTTAATTTTTGATACAGCATAAATTGAGTTGTTTAGCATAGGTCTAGCCTGAGGTGCCATTATGTTACTAGAAGCTGTTATTTTCCTTTTATTAGTCTCAACCAGTAAATCGTCTACTGATACCGACTGTCCATCCCTGATCGAAGCTGATAACCTTTCACAAACGCAGTTAATTGAACGCCTTACACATGGTTGCCGTTATGATCGCCTGGAGCGACCTGTTACGTACAAAGAATCGAACGGTGCGCGTCTGCCAATTGATGTTTATGTACGCGCTTATATTTACTTCATGCAAAACTTGGAGGCGCATGATTTACAATTCAAAATACACGTACTGCTGCAGTTACGTTTTCTAGATCCGCGTTTAACTTTTCGTAAAGTCGCACCCAAACGAAGACAACCCATCTTGGGTGAGAAACAGTTACGTGATACACTTTGGATGCCGCATATTTTTCTGGCTAATGAAAGGGATTCCAGTTTGCTAGGTAATGGTAATTGTACTATATACTATAAGAAATATATTTATATGAATGTTATTTTAGGTACCAACGAAAAGGATATACTCACCTCTATTTCACCTGATGGCACTGTAATCATTTCGTCGCGCATTAAAGCTACACTTTATTGCTGGATGAATTTGCAGAAATTCCCATTCGATGAACAACAATGTGGTACTATACTTGAGAGTTGGATGTATAATACATCCGAATTGGTGTTACATTGGGAACAAAAGCGACCTATTACTATTGATCCAGCATTACATCTCACCGAATATATGCTACATGGCGCTTGGTCCAATGAAACTGTAGTTAATGCTGACTTAAATGATTTGAGACATGGCGCTTTCGCTGGAAACTACAGTTCGCTTAGTTTCACAGTACATTTAACGCGTGAAGTTGGCTTTTATGTGATGGATTATTTTCTACCATCAATGTTAATTGTTGCCATTTCATGGGTATCATTTTGGCTACAAGCAGATCAAGCACCACCACGTATTATGCTTGGCACCAGCACGATGTTGACATTCATAACACTGGCTTCAGCCCAAGGTTTGTACATTGATGGGCAATACATGTAATTGTGGTAAAAGGACTTGATTCATCTTTTTTATCTTTCGACAGGCAAAACTTTACCGAAAGTCAGTTATATTAAAGTTTCCGAAGTATGGTTTCTTGGTTGTACGCTTTTCATTTTTGGCAGTCTCATCGAATTTGCTTTTGTCAACACCATTTGGCGTAGAAAACGTAGTGTGGATGTGAAGAAAATGAGCAGCAAACATATACTTAAATCAACAATATCGCCACGGTCTTCGAGGCGTAAAGCTGTGCGTTCACATTCGCTCTGTGGTCCGCCAGTTGCTAGTGGTGGTTTAAATAATGATCCGCCGCCATTTAATAACTATTTAACTGTGCATAATATACCAATTCATACGATACATGAAAATGAAAATGAGACCGGTGATAATGTGTCTAAAGTTACTTCTTTTAGTGGTACAACAACAAATACTGCAGATTCAATGCCTTTTAGTAAACACGATCTAATGAATATGGAAGCGGGCGCAACGCCCAATAATAATGGTTGGACAACATTGACACCACAAGAAATATCCATGTGGATTGATCGGAAAGCGCGTCTTTTGTTTCCACTAGCCTTCCTCGTGTTTAACATGTTCTTTTGGACATTTGTCTATGTTGTGTGATATGTGTTTGTGATTTTTTGTTTCATTTTAAATGTTAAGGACTTTGATAATTTAGTTAAAAATTTGTGTACGTGTTGGTTAAATTAAAAAAATATATATATTTTTAATTCCGATAACAATAACTGTACTAAAATATTATTTGTTTATTATGTCTTGTGTTGTTGTATAACATTATTTATTTGCTAAAAAAAAATGTGCGAAACGAAAAGTGCGGTTTTGTGTTAATAAAAGTTATCATGAAATGCCGCACTTTAAGTATTAAAAAAAACAACATGATTACATATATACTTGCTTAAGCAATTTCTTATTTATTATAAATACTTTTATTTCACTATTTGGCATAAAACGCAGTGCTTTAGGAATCTCAATTTTTCTTAGAAATAAATGAATGATGAAGTAAAAAATTTACGTCTGTGCCTGATTTTGTTGATAAGTCGTGTGGAACAGACAATATTTGTACATATACACAAACGTGCAAAGATTCACACAATTACATTACATTATTAAACAAGAATTCAAATGATTGTATAACTTGCTAAGTGTTTAAATCATTAAAGCTCTTTATTAGCATCGATCTTGCCTGTATCGCCTTTTAACTTCGCTTTTGGTTTCTTTTGATCTTTCTTGCTATTTTTCTTCGCATCCTTACTATCAGCATTATCTTCCTCAAGCTGTGGTATCGCTTCTGTCAAACATTTCCGTTCATCTTGCGCCAACACTGTATCCTCACAGAGATAAGAAATCAAAGACTTTTCATCTTGATGATTGAAATACCAATCGGAAATTACGTCCTCATAATTTTCAGCCATATTTTCGCATTGTGTTTTCATTTGTGTCACCTCAACTGGCGGCTTATCCCAAAGTTCGTAGGGTATGCCCAAATCCACTTTGACACCCTTGTCCACAAGTCCATGTAACGTTTTAAATGTTTGTGACATACCTTTGGCAAAGCGTGTACTATCCTTACGTTCCTTATGCAAATTGTATTCGAGTACACGTTCGCAAACATTTTCCAGCGATTCAAGCAAACGTAATTCACTACGTCGATATTCAGTGCGTTTCTTCGGCTTCACATCGTCCAGTGAATAACTAATGTTAACGAGAAAATCTTTAGTTAAACTATTTTTTGATAACTCTAAGCATGCCTACCCCATCTCAATAACATCATGCGATTTCCCTGTTTCCTTGAGACGCTCTTGCAACTCGGTTGCTAAAATTTTACATGCCTCACAGCGATTAGCATATCGAACACCCTCTTTTTCCTCCGGCGTTTCAGCGTTCAACAAATACACTGACAATGCCAATGTTAACACTGTTAGCCGCAAGCGCACCATGTTATGCTTACTTTATTTTATCAACTAATTGCAATTTAATTTATTATAAATAAAACAGCTGGAATTTCTTGAGAATGCAATTATTGCAAGAAATGCAAAACCTGACGTGTTGTTTAGCCGGACCATCGAAGTTGCCATATCTCAACATTGTGGATGGTAAGGTAGTTGTATGGTGTGAAACTACGCTACCAACTAAACTACTTAGCCGACAGAATTAAGCACTTTTGCGCCGTTTTATGCATATAAATAAATAATTATGCATTTAATTAAATTAAAGCAATACATTTTAACGTATATGTTTGCTTTTAGGTGTACAGTTGTGCCAATGAACTAATATAATATACGTTCTTTGACAATGCTTTTCATATTTTCGCCACAACATAATTTTTTAAATAGTAGACTATTTGCTTTGGGAAATTTCTACATAAAATTATACGAATAATGTTACCTTTCTTTGAAATTGACTGTCACACTGAGATTTTTTGACGAAAGACGTTACCAGTGGTAACTGAAATCAGAGGTGAAAATGCAATTGCCCTTGGCATGAATTTTTGCTATGGTCGCATGGTATTCCATAAACTGTAGACACGTCCCATATGCTTGTCCATTTATTTATCTTCTTTTATTACATACAAACATACTTACATTTCTTGGCCTTTATAAAATAAGAGAACTAAAAATACCAAATACCTTTTCTGTGTTTTTCGATGAATCGAACACAGAATCCGATAAATGAAATTCGATAGTATTTCAAGATATCACAATCGATAATAATCGGTGATTTCGATATCAAACGGATATCATAACAGCATAAGTGAAAACGATATTTTATTCAAAATAAAATCTTTTTTGCTTTGGTTTAAAATAATTTCAATATATAAAAATTCTTTAAAATGCGTAAAGAAAAAAACATTGTTTGAAAAACACATTTTTTATTTTTGTATAAAAGAAAAAAGCAAGTAATTAATTAAACTTTTATGTGCATTTATTTTATTTATATTTTTTTTTAAATGCTAATATAATTTTTTATGCACCAATATTTTGAAATTATTACTGTTATTTGTTTTATTAAAAAAAAAATTTTTTCTTAAATTACTTCTTCTTGACATTACAATTAAAGATTTTTTTCTTATTTGCTAATATACGCTTTAAAACCCGTTACTTTCTAAATTCGTTATTTTTATAATTTTTATATAAAATGTGATTCTTTGTTGTTGTCTAGCATTCTAAAGCTTGCATTTTAATGCTACAAATCACAAGACATGCGTTCCAACTTGAGTTGTTGTTGTTGTTGCTGCTGGTGTTGTTGTTGCAAGCTGCTTGCGATGGGCAGAGAAAAGTTAATATTATTGCTTTGGTCCAGCGGCGAACCCTGATCGTCCGTTTCATCCACAATTTTTATGATTTCACTGCTGTTATTGCTTTTGTTGTTGTTGTTGTTGTTGTTGTTGCTATTGACAAAATTCCCGCTACGATTCGAGCTGCCGGCATTACAATTATTGGTTGAGAAACCCGCAAAAGAGCGCACCTGTAGGAATAAACCGCTATTGAGCAGGCGAGCTTGATGTTCCTGAGCTTTGGCGCGCAGACAAGCGATCGAATTGTTTCTGAAAAAAATAGGAAGACAAATTAGTAAATTATTTTCTTTGCTTACTCCCTTTTTGTTACTTACCTAAAAGTGTCCGGATCATGTTCGAGCGTGGAGTAGGAGGCCGCAGTTGCACCACCACCACTGCTCACATGTTGTCCATGATGATGATGTAAACCTGTGCCACCTGCTGTAGCAGCACCACCACCACCACTTGCCGCAGCTGCTGCGGCTGCCGCTGCCACTGCTGTATTCATGATCATGTGAAAATCTTTACTCGTGGCTGCACCCGCGCTAGCATTAGCCGCATCCATTAGTGGATGATAAGATGGTTGAGCGCTTGTATGTGGCGGTCCCAAGACGGCTGCAACAGCGGCTGCTTGTTGTTGATATAAATGTCGCTGATGTTGTTGTAGGGGTGATAATTGTAGGGACAGTGATGCAGTTGATGCATGTGAAGTTGGCGGTGATGGACTGCTCAAATCGATGTGCGGCGAAGAAGACGATGCGGTTGTTGCTGAGGGTGTGGTTGCATTGGATGATATTTGTTGTCGTTCATGCGGCGGTCCAGGACTAACAACATTCAGCGATTCGGTGGAGGAGCTAAGACGTTGTGAACCATCATCATTGGACTTCGAACCGGCGGAGTCCTCGTGATCGCTCACACCGGAGTCGTCTTTCAGTGTTTGTTGAGCTTCTATGGATTTACGGTGCATACCTGGTGGTGATTGGAGGATGAGAAAATGTATTAAAAAGTGTGTGGAATCATTGATAGAGAAGAAAAATAAATAAATATTATATTTAAATACAAATTGAAAAGAACGAAAGAAGAAGAATTGACTTTAGTTTTTCAAACGAAAAACTTTACTTTGGATATCACGAGAAAAGTGAATGAGTTCAGCGCGTTATTAATGCTTTTACGATGATCTAAGGGAGTTTGGTTCGATGAGGATGTAGTAAAAGTGATAGTTGAAGGGTATTAAAAGGTCAGTAGTGCTTATATTCAGGGAACACTCCATCTTTTGTGTGGAACGGCAACCAATTTACTTTACAGAACATTCTTTGGCATTTAATTTTTGATGATGATCTCCTTCAAATGTATCAGATGGTCCATCCATTGAGTCTAATTTTCGATGACTAATAGCTCTGAATCGAAGCGGTATTGTACGCATAGACTTTAGACTTTACATATTCCCACATATCACACGATATTGCTAGCCAATCAACCGGCCCGAAACGTAAATAAACTGCTCACCGAAGTGTTCTCTCAAGAAATCAATTGATTTATGCTGTGTGTGGGAATTCGGCGCCGTCTTGTTGAAACCAAATGTCGCCGAAATCACAAGCTTCAATTTCGGACATCAAATAGTCGGTTCCGGTTCGCAAACCACACCAAACCGTTGTTTTTTCTGTATGAACTGGCAGCTCTTGAATCTCTTCAGGGGCCAAATGCGGCAAATTTGCTTCTTTACATACCCCTTGAGGTAGAAATGGGCCCAATGCGCTGAGCAAAAATCGACTCGAAAACCATCGAATATTCTTGGAACTCTTCAAGAGCTCACAGAGCGAAGCGATGTCGCTTGGGCAGGTCGAGCGGCTTCAGATCTTGCATCAGGCTTCAGATCAGACGTAAGTGCGTCAAGTCGTTCTGTGCGTCAGTCAGAGTTGCTGCGAACGGCACCGAATCGACTCTTTCCCTGTAACTCTTAGCTGCGGCCGCTATATTTCGTTCACTGCGTGCTGGAAGTGGTCTGATCGGTGGAACATTAACCAATATTAAATGCTGGGTCTCAAAATTGGTGATGGTGCTGCAGATAGTACGCTCAGTTGGCCGAAAAGTAGCTCTACTTGAATCAACTGGAGAGGTTAGCATCTCTGCCGAATGGCAATCAAACTTATATACACAGCACAACCTCGCGGTGGGTAGCGGTGAGGATCATGGATTGTGGGTCTGGTAAGATTTTCTAGTTTTATTTTTTTTTTATAAGAACACCTCGCACCAAGAAAGGATACCTCTTCTCATGGTGAGGCAACTGTAGAACAACCTACTTCCTCAAATCCGCGTAGACTTAAAAAACCATCATCTAGAAACAGCTCAGGAGGACGTGAACAGTCTCAACTTACTCGACTAATGTGCCCATCTCCGTATTCTACCATCTCGTTAAGCCTCAAAAACTCATCCTCGGCATGAGAACTACATATGCCATGCCGAACTGCCGAACTAAGACTTTACAGCCGCATTGTTAATGTCTTTTTATTAATTTATAATTAGAAAGAGAAATATCTATATAATTCCACATAATGTCAGCCACACCCCTTCCACGGCCAGCGTGTACAAATACAATAAATGACAACTTGAAAGCAATTTTAATTGAAATTTATCAAAGCGATTAAGGACATAAATTAAAGGCAGTGGAAAATTAAAAATTGCAAAACCGATTTCCAAAAGAAGCGAAAGCCAAATGAGAAGAATGTATTGAAAAGCATTGAAATGTGGCTGAGGATTTGTGGTGGGGGGCGGTAAGAGGTTGGTGTGGGTTGCGTGTTTTGACAGCAGTTAATAAATAGATAAATAAATAAATAAATGAAAACGAAACGAAACGAAATGAAAATTGCCATTTTAAATCCATTTTAAGCTACTTGAAGTCAACAAAGACACATACACACACCCATCCATACATACAATTACATAAATAAAATAATTGAAAATTATACCGCTATGAGAATACCACACAGAAGCGTTTGCGTCGAAAGTGGGCTTACCACTTTCATTTGAGGGGCGTAGAATTCTACTGGGATAGCCATATGTCACACATTGACTGGATTAAGCGGGAAAGTAGCCTAAGCACAGCGCCGAAGCCGTGACTGCTTTATGAACAACAGCAAGGGTTGTATTTATTTGTATTGGTATATGATGGAAGCGTGGAAATAATGTACTCCATTACTACAGAAGGCAAGATAAATTGCAAAAGCTAATAGCTAAAACATAACTAAGAAGATCAGCTGAGGATTAACGAGGATTAACGCGATAACAATGGAAATGGAAATTGGGCGATAAGAGTATACGAGTTGGTTGCGGCGTTGCCAGAAAAAATCCATAAAAGTTCAAATTTCAATGGGTTTCCAGTGGTGCAGTAATTGTAGGCAGCTATGGCAGTTTTCGCATTTTATCTCAACCCATTTAGAGAGAAATTGATAAGTAGGAGAAAACAAACAAATTTTCTCACTAGACTAAATGTATATATTAGCCATTTAATGATGTTTGCTATATGCACACGGCAGGAATTATCAAGCCCTCCGAGTGTATTTCTGACAAGAAATAAGAAACTCCTCATAAACAGCAATCAGCCGTACGAAGTCGACTATTATAAACTGTAGGGTCCCTCCATTTGTTGGCAAAAACATTAAGATGCTTACCACAAATTAGAGGCCGAGAATCGCTTTAGCGGTGTTTCTCTTCTTCTTCATCTTATTTTATTTCTATTTTTTGGTTTTTTTTTTTTTTTTTGTTTATTTCTTTTTTTATTTTTCAACTTTTTTTAATTACTATGTTTTATTTTATTTTGATTATTTTTTTAATTCTCTGTTTTGTTTTATTTATTATTTTGTATTTTATGTATTTTATATTTCTACAATTTATTTATTTTTATTCTTGAAATGTTTGAATTTTTATTTTATTAAAATTATTTTATTTTATTTTTTATTCGAATTTATTTTATTTTGTTTTATTTTATTTAAACTATTTTATTTCTTTTCATCGCTTTTTTTATTTCTCTATTTCATTATATTTACTTTTTGTATTTTGATTTTTTTTAGTTTATTTCGTTAAATATAATATTATTTTATTTTATTTATTTGATTGATTTAATTTATTTTATTTTTCTACAGCTTATTTAATTTTATTCTTGATTTGTTTGAATTTTTATTTCATTAAATTTGTTTCATTTTTTATTTCTTTTTATTTTATTATATTTTTTATTTTCATTTTTTATTTTTTTTTTTAATTTTTTATTTTATTTATTTTATGTATTTTATATTTCTACAATTTATTTATTTTTATTCTTGAAATGTTTGAATTTTTATTTTATTAAAATTGTTTTATTTTATTTTTTATTTAAATTTATTTTGTTTTGTTTTATTTAATGATATTTTATTTTATTTAAACTATTTTATTTCATTTCATCTATATTTTTATTTGTCTATTTTATATTGTTTTATTATATTATATTTTTATTTTATTTTAATTCTTTTTTTATTTTTCAATTTACTACCTTTTTTTTGATTGATTTTATTTATTTTATTTTTCTACAACTTTTTTAATTTTATTCTTGATTTGTTTGAATTTTTATTTCATTAAATATGTTTTATTTTTCATTCCTTTTTATTTTATTATTTTTTTAATTTTTTGTTTTATTTTATTTATTATTTTTTATTTGATCGATTTCATTGATTTCATTTTATTTTATGTATTTTATTTTTTTACAACTTTTTTAATTTTATTCTTGATTTGTTTGAATTTTTATTTTATTAAACTTGTTATGCTTTATTTTTTATTGTGTTTTAATTTACTTAAGTTGATGTATATTAATTTTATTTCAATATCTTTTGATTCTTTTTTTTATTTTTTCTGTAGTATTTAATCTAATTTTAGTAAATCTTTACATTCTATTTTATTTTATTTCATTTTAATTAATTTTTTTTTTTGCAATTTATGTATTTTAATGTTTTTTTTTATAAATTTTATTTCTTGCAATTGATTTAATTTGTTATATAATTTTATTTTTTATTTAATTTTATTCCATTAATTATTCTATTTTATTTATTATTTTTCTAATATGTTTAATTGAATTTTTATATTTTATATTATTCTATTTTTTATTGTATTTTTTGTGTTACTTAATTTTTTATTTTGTCTAAACTTATTACATTCCATTTTTTTATTTTACTGATATCATTTATTTTATTTTATTTATTTCCATTTTATTAATGTACATTCAATTTTTTTATTTTAATACTATATCTATTTTCCCATTTCAATTAATTTAAAGTATTTACTTTTATTTTTTTATTTAATTTTATTATATCACTTCATTATATTTAATCCATTTCGTTTTATTTCATTTCATTTCTTTTTTCTTATTTTCTATTTTATTTTATTTATTTTATTTCCTATTTTTCCTTTTTATTTAATTTAATTAATTTATTTTTTTTTGTTTGATTTATTTATTTTTTTATTGATTTTATATTATTACATTTCATTTTATAATATTTATTCCGTTTTATTCTATTTGATTTAATTTCATTCCATAATATCTTTTTTTATTTTAATTCTTATTTATTTTATTTATTCTATTATATTTTAATTTAATTTATTTATTTCAATTTGTTTTTTATTTTTTTTTTAGTTTTATTATAATTGATATTATTTTAATATTTTATTCTATTATATTTTATTTTATTTATTCTATTAGATTTGATATTATCTTAATTTATATATAATATTTTGTTTTTATTTAATTTAATTTAATTATAACATATTTTATCCTATTTTATTTTATTATATTTATAAAATATGTTATTTATTTTTTATATTTTATATTTTATTTTATTTTATTTGAATCCTTTTTTGTTTTACTGTTTAATTTTATGATTATTTTATTTTTATTTAATTTTTGTTTGTTTTGTTATATTTTGTTTTATTAATTTTATTTTAATCTATTTTATTTTTTTCTATTATTTGTTATTTTACTTAATTTTTTTTCTATTTTTCTATTGTCTTTGATTTTATTTATTAAAGTTTATATTTTATTTAAATTTTGATTATTGTATTATATTTTATTTTATTTATTTTACTTTTATTTATATTATTTTTTAATTACTTTTTTATTTTTCTATATTATTTTATTTTATTTTTCTTTTTTAAATTTTTTAGTTATTTAATTTTATTTGGTTATAAAATTATTTTAATTTATATTGATTTATGCTATCGTTTTATTTTATATTATTTAATTTTTTATTTATTTAAATTTTATTCTTTTTTATTTTGATTTACTTTTTTATTTTATAAGTATTATTATAAACATTAATTTAACTTCATTTTATTTTACTTAATTTTATATATATTTAATTTGAGTTTAATTTGATATATTGTATATTCCTTATTATATATATATTTTTTTTGCTGCACACTATTTGATTTTAATTTATTTTATATTAATTTATTTAATTTTTTTATAAAACTATAATTTTTTACTTTGTTTTGGCTTAAAGGATTTTAGTTAATTTTATTCTATGTTATTTTATATTATTTAATACTATTTTAATTTCTCTTAACATATTCAATCGCCTCTTCATTAATATGGCAAGCCCGCCCGGCTCATGCCACACTCGTGTTTCTTTCCCATTATATTGTCATCAACAACAAACGCCTTTTGTTGTTGTATCGTTTATTATCGTCCACTTGCATTTATTAAGCGATTATTAACAATAAAAGGATCAACTTAGCGTATAATGAGTACAATGAGCTGAAATTGCAGTGGCACGTACCTGCCTTCATAATACAAATACACGCGAAATGGGAAGAGCAGAGGGCGATGAATAAAAGCGGAACCAAACAGATAATAAAGTCTTGTCCAGTTGTGGCGAACAACGCATTTTAAGTATGCGGTGCAAATTTTTCACCCCTCAACTAAAACTAATAAGAAAAAAGAAACGAAAATATTTATTGCTTTCTGTTGAGCTCGTCTACCAGTTGCCTGTTGCACCCTCCGCTTAACACTGTGCAACTCAGTTAGCTTGTTGTTGTTGTGACAGACAATTGTCTATTGAATATTTAATGCGGCCGAGTAGTGTTTTCTAACTGTGTGGCTAATCCGCTAAGTCATTTTCACTAATTCAATAGAGTCAACGTGATAGAGATGCTTTGCACATAGACCGTGAGCGGAGGGGTAGGCGAGGGAGTATTGTAATGAAAATTATGAACATATGACGCAAATCGTTGACGATATGAATCCGTCATGCACTTCAAATATGTTCACAATTTTACGTTGTTGTTGTTTTTGCTAAAAGAATTTTTTAAAAAGAAACTCAACCATAAATGTATTTAATTTAAAATTATAAAAAAAAAAGAAAAATGGCAAAAAAAATTAAAAAAGACTTAAAACTAAATAAAAAAAAGAAAAAAAATTAAAATAAATTAAAAAAGACTTTAAAATTACTAAAATAAATTAAAAAAAAATTTAAAAAAAATAAAAAAAAAAATTTAAAAAAAAATTAAAAATTAAAAAAATTAAAAAACGTTCAACAAACATTCAAAAATTAATTAATCACCTACAAACGATATAAAAAATTTCTCTTAAATTTGTGCATAATAAAAAATGAAATTTGATAAATTTTTGCATTTACTTTCCGTCTCCATACCTAGTAGCCATGGTGCCACTGACTCATTCTCTTTTGCTGATTTTATTATCGTTTCCGGCAGTGGCAACGAATGGCGCACCATCGCTCCGTACAAGCCATATTCAGCCATAATTGTGCTGCGTCCCCAGCATTTCTCGGTTTTGCGCCACTTGGCACGTCGATTTTGAAACCAGACCTATGGAAATGGAAAGAAGAGAAATGTGTAAGAAAGATTAGAAGAGTATTTAAATGAGGTGTTTTCTTTAACTTTAATTATTCTAAAGGAAAGAGTTAAGCATTCTCCCAAGCTTGATCCCACCAAATAACGCCACAAATGAGTTCTACTACCCCGGGACTACAGGGAAATTAATTGTTTCTTAGCTAAGTCAATAGCTTTCTTCAGCGCCAACTGAAAACACCAAGTGAAGTCAAGTTTTTCTTCAACTAATATTTCCAATAGAGTGGATGTCTTTTTCTTCCATGGATTACTGCATCGAAAACTTCAAAAGGTGAAGGAATTTTCAACAATTCGGACGAGATGCCGTCGCGATCGCCTCTCACCAGTGTACGGAAAAATGTTATTAATGGAATTTATGGTGGTCCCTAAATGGACAAAATTGTCTACAACCACAAAGTTATGGCTGTCAACAGTGACATGGAAGCGCAGAAAAAGTTCATCGTGTACTCGTTCACTATAAGATCCGGTTGCTTCGCTCCCTTCTCTAGTCTGGAAGAGAAAGAGAGATTCTGACGGAGTTTTGGTCAGCAGGGGCATCAGCAGGGTGTTTCCCTTTCTTTGCAATTCACCAAACTGAAGAAATGTATCATTTATAAACTCCTTTCTTTGGGCCCTATATGATTTCCAGCATAATTAGTGTCATTAGTACCACAAATTATAGAGATTAATCAGCATTAACCCATTTAACCCCATACTGAATTTTCTGGCAGTTGGGTCGAAGATACCATCTCGTCCTATCCTGGTGTTAAAGCTGCCAAATACACTTCGGGCATTGTGGCTTGGACAGCGTCCTTCAGTATGTCTCAGACACTGGCAAAAAGCCTAAATAAGCGATATTTGGACGAATTTCCCTTTGATCTGAATTGTGGCTAAACGTTCATACACCAGTGGCAGTGATAGCACTCGATGACTAAGTCTCTTACCCTTCACGAGTCCGTTGTCAAGTTTGCGCTCCTTAAATATATATCGTACTTGCCGAGTCAGTCGCACTTCTTGGCGCCATGTATCAAATAAAGGGATAGGATATTGCCTGTGCATGCCCTTAAACCATAGTACCTCCGAGATGTAGTTGAACTTCTCATTGGAACTGGTTCTTACATGGCGGACGCTAAACCCTGCGCACAACCTCGCTTGTCAAGCATAATGCTTGTTGTTCTGTAACCTCCCCAACGATTTTCGACTGAGATTCTTCTTCAATTAACGGCGCGTGATGTTTTTCCAGCAAATAGAGGAACTTAAAGTTTATTCGAAGCCGCCTCCGAATGACCGTTGAGTCGTTGAGAGGAGTTTCTTTTATTTAATGTCAGAAATACACCCGGAGGGTTTGACAATCTCTGCCTAGGAACGACCGCACCCAAATTGGCGTTAAGTTCGCCATGTGCGCTCTTCACATCGTGGTGGGGCAGCGTTCATGAGTATGCACCAGACGTTCATAAAGGCTAGCTTTGGTCAAATCGCCATTTTCTACCGTCGGAGAGAAAGTCGGTTTGATGCAGATTGTGACGAGATATTTTTGCACCGGCGTGCATGCAAGTACTCGGTGACGGAGTCACTCTCTCACAACGAATCCGATAGGGCGGTTATGTAAGCGGCCGTAATGCTGGGCGAGTAGGTTTACATTTTCCGCGCAATTGTATAGCGAGAAGCTCGCAGCGGCACCCCTGGTGAACAGACACTGCAATTAGACTGCAGCGAAACCTTAAACCGAATGTATCGTAGTGACTCAATGAAAGCTCTCACTCTTTTAGCCGCGAACAAGGGCTCCACACAGGTTGGTTACTGCATCTTGCATAAAGATTGCTCTGGTTTCCAGAGTGTGCAATGAGGACGCAAAGTTAGCGGTTAGAAATAGTCTTTCAATTGCAACAGCATATTCAGAAACAGTTCTTTAATATGCCATGGATTACGGTTATTGCCGCAACAGAGGGTTCCACCGCACATCTAAGCCAGCGGCTGATTATATTCTCACCCACTACATACCTCGATGCAGTGCTAAATTTTCAAAAGATAAATTAATACACAAGATTATTTATGTACCCACTTGCCAAGCTGTACTTGGAACCCCTTAAAGTTGACTTTAAATTTAGGAATTTCAGACAACTCTAAATAATTTACGGTACATTACGTCGTCTATTAGTTATTCAAAGACTGAAGAAAAAAAAATGAAAATTGAAAATAATAACCAACATTATTTTGAAAATGTCTACAAATTAAAAATGTCAGTTTGCTATTGAAATGACATTTGTCATATCTACTTGAAGGAGCGCACAATGAGCAACTGCTGAAAGACTGAGCACATAAACAACCACCAACAACACAAAACCCTAACGCGAAACGTAGTTTACCAGCAATGCATACTCGCATGCGCAAGCCATAATTCACAGGCTACAGCGGAATTTCTTCTAACAAATTATGCAAATCTTTTTTTCACCCCCACCTCCGCCCCCTCCACAACCATATCGGGCCGGCAAAATGCATAAAAGGATAATCTGCGGCAAATCTCATCACACAGCGGACACTTTTGACTTTTTCTTTGACTTTGAATCGCAGCGGCCTAACGAAGCATGATTTATTCACTGCGAGTAGAGTGAACGTGTGGGAGAGAGGAGCGTCGAAGGGAGCACGTAAAGTAGCAGTCAATATTTTAATATTTTTTACATTTCTTCAAACACATTTTTCTCAATAGTTTTGAGAGTGGAGAGCACGGCGGAAGATGAGAAAAATACATCCAAGGAACTGTGAATATTTTCTTGGCAAAAATAAAAGTGAAAACGAGTTGGCAGAGAGACAGAGCTGGCATAGAAAGCTGGCAGCTGATGCATAACCAAAGTGTTTACAGTTTGTGAAAACAACAAACATCAGCGCAGCCCTTTCGTTTCGTCTTCTTTGCCTCCACTACCCTTATATTTACTACACATCGTAACTAATAGCCGAACTAAGCGATTTGATGGACCAGAAAAATGATGACTTCTTCTGTGAATGCTGAATACTTAATAAATAGTCGTCTGAGGGTGGGTTGTTTTGGTTCGGTTTCAATGTCAGCACTGTTAGTTGGACGCTTTTAACATTATAAAGGGTGTTGTTTTTTTTTCTTTTTGGTGACGTATGATTGTCAATGAGGCAATTGATTTTCAGGAGTTGGGGTTTTCTTTGACAACTGTAGGTTTTACTTGACTTACACTTGGGTTTGGGTTGCCACTTCGCAATGAACAGACTTACTCCGGATCAACGTTTGCATCGCCCAGTCGAGTCGACAGAGTTGGCACCGAAGACGGTATTGCTGTTGTGAAGCAGAGTATCGAAAAAAACCCGAATTAGTGCAATCGCCATCGCACGTAACAATTGAAGCCGCGTCCAGCTACTTTGTGGAAGATTTTTGCGTAAGTATCTTGGTTTGCGGGCCAATAAAATCCATCAACGACCATCAAGCCAAGTTCGTTGAAGGGGCCAAAACGTGTGACCACTTATCCTGATTTTCACAAGAACTTTTTTTTTTTTAACGAAGAAGCGCACATTTGGTTGACACATTCAGAGTGTCGAGAGATTATATTACATGATTATTAAGACGCCGAAGCATTCTCAAAAAGTTACTGTTTTGGTGGGCTTTATGGGAAGCGGGAATCATTGGTCCATATTTCTTCGAAAATGAAACCGATTAAAATATTACAGTCCATGGCTCTATAATAAAAGACTTTTCCGTGTCTGAATTGGAGCATGTAGATAGGGACGAGATATGGTGTCAACAAGACGGCGTTATTTGCCTTACAGCCAACGAAAAAATCAATTTATTGCAGGAAACTTCTGGTGAGCATCGCGGGCATGTGGCATGGCCTTCAAGATCATGCGATTTACCACCGGCAGACTCTTTTTTTGTGGGGTTATATGAATCAACATTAATGTCAGCCTTGAAATCCAGCAAAGAATCACTCTTGCCAACAGTTTGTACTTTGCACTGAGTAGGGAATTGAGAAGTAATATACTCTCACGACGAGCAAAGACCAAAGTCTACAAGTCGCTCATCGTGCCTGTCCAGCTATATGGTGCAGAGGCCTGGATGATGCCAACATCTAACGAGTTGGCGTTAGGAGTTTTTTGAGAGATAAGTATTGCGTAAGATTTATGGTCCTGGACGATGGAATGATGAGTGTACGTCTTACGAGTATATGGTGGCTTTGATATAGTTCAGTGAACCACGAAACATCAACTGCGCTGGCTAGGTCATGCGTACCGGTTCGATAAGAAGACTCCAGCTCTGAAAGTTTTCGGTGCAATATCCGCCAATGGTAACTAAGATGGAGTAAGACGTCCACTACACCTGAAAAACCAGATAGGTAGGGACCTGCCTGAATTTGGTATTGGAATATGTGAAGGCGATTGCCTAAGAAAATAAGCCCAAGGCGATTGACGACTTGGAAGAGAATATTCGGCACCATTTGCTGCGAAAAGTGGTCGAAATTTGGGACCTCATCTTTATATTAAAGGTAAATTCTTGAGCTTAGCCCCGTATCAGATGAGTTTTATTTTTTCTGGAAAACCACATGTTCAAAAAGTCACCCTTTACAAAGTTCACACATATCAGTATATTAATCTTGTCTTTTTTATTGTCTACTTTTATTCACACATTTGTTGGTATTTTATTGTCAGATTGACGGTATATCAAAGGTTACGCGCAATTCTCCGCTCATTTGGGGTTAATCTAGATTTTTCAGCTTTATCTGGTCTTAATGTGTATGTTTGCTGGTTTATGGTTCCTACTTTGTGGTCCACTTGGTGTATAATGGCTGTGATACCACTTTTTTATTTGAATGATAGTAAGAAGACCCGGAACAGGAGAAGAAGAAGAAAGAATTCATTCCGAATGGACACAAATGGGACGGTGTTCTTGCCGCAGATGGAGATTCGATCCATTTCTATACGAATGGGCCAAACCAGGCAACAGAGTCGAAAGTATAATCTAC